TAATTTTTCATTTATTTTGTCATTTTGTTCTTGTATTGTCTTTCAAAATTTTTTTAGAGTTTTCTCTGATCTGTCTCTCAATTCATTGAAGATACCTAAATATAATTCTTTTGAATTCCTTATCAGGGAGTTCCAGTGCTGTGTCTTCCTCAGGGATGTGTTTTGTGTCTGTATCCTGGTCCCTTGTTTCTCCTGCTTTATCTTGTTTCTTTGTGTGGACTGTGATGCTCTATTGTCTCTGAGGCATTGTGACATTTTTGTGCTTATATTTAATTGGTGACTGTATGTTGGAGTGACTTGCCCACAATTTTCATTTTCTTTGTTGTGTTTGTATGTTATCTATGCAAGCAGGGTACTGTGGTGTGCTCCTCTGTTCACTAGTTGACAGCACTTATACACTTACTACCTGTCTCCTTTCCTTTTGTCAGCCTCTCGTATTTCCTTGCTCACCCTGCCAAACAGAGCCTATTCTTAGGTCCCTGGAATCCAGTGAGAATGCTATCACTTTAAAATTCATAATGGTTGCCACTTGTAAAGTTTCAAAATGGCTGTGCCTTGGTCACTTTAAATATCCAGAATGGCTACCGTGTATAAACAATCAAGATGGTTGCACCCTCCGGACAATGGCAAATCAACAGCTCAAGTTGTCTCCCTCCTTGCTGTTTCCCTTGCTAGTCATAGGCCACCAGTGCAGTCACCCATGCAGCCATTGGTGACCAGGGCTGATCTTTAAGTCAATTCTCAGGTCCCAGCACCACTTGGAAATATTCAGGTTGTTGGTCCCGTCAGAGTAGTTGACAGTCCACAGCTCCGACCGTGTCTGTACTCACCGTTTTTGTTCAGGTTTTTCCACTAGTTGGTGCCTAATCCACTTCTGTGTAGTTCCTTTCAAAGCTCAGGGCTCCAGGATTATCTTCTGTATCTCTGTCAATTGGTTTTTCTTTTCTTTGTGGAAGAGGGTTTGTGTTGCTTGTCTGCCTATTCTTCTATCTTACTGGAAGTCTCCTAAAAAAATTCTTTCTTAATCAACTTCTCCCCTGATTGTTGTTGGATTTTTTTCTTTTTTTAGGTTTTAAAGTTCTGTAAAAGTTGATTCTGATCATATTTGCCAACATTATTACTGCACTAGTGGAGGAATGGGCTTTTATATTCCTTACTGTGAGGGCCACAAACATTGCATTGTTTATGCAAGATGGATGCTGCCCACAAAGGACTTTGGGAGAGAAGCAGAATACCTTACTGAGCAAATGACTTAGTCAGGAAAGAAAACATACTAAAATCTAATTTCATGATACTTAGTTGGAACCCATTGACTAGTACAAAAACAACCCGTCCATCATAGATTAGATATGTTTTTCCTGATCCTCCTGCATGTATCCTTGTATGTTTATACTCTAGGTGTATAAACCCACACCCCACAGTGCCCCACATAGACCCCTGCCCAGGTGACACTTCACGTTGACTGTCTGCCATGAGGATCTTGACATAAGCCTCTGTGTGTAAGTTCCCTAATAAAGTCTCATCTGAGCAACATGGCTTTCACTGCCTCTTTGTTCAGAATCTGACCTGTTCCCCTCAGAGCCACTTCTGCCTCTGGTCTGGTGGAGTGTGACAATTGCTACTCCATTTTCGGTCATGTCGTTCTTGTGTATGGACATTTTCATAGTTATTTTTTATATTCCTTGGTTGCCCTCTGAAAATAAACCATTTACAATGCTGTCAGAAATACATTTCCTCACAGCCATGTCAACATTGGTTGTTACTACATTTTAACTTTTTGGTTATTTAATTATCATCGAATGGTGCTGTTGTTAGCCACTGTCGAGTTGGCCTCTAAATTGTGGCAACCCAATATGTTACAGAATAGAACTGCTCCATAGGATTTTCTTGGCTGTAATTTTTTTTCTTTTTAATTTTTATTGTGATTTGGGTAAAAGTATATAGAGAAAATTAATTTTCCATGTAACAGTTCATATGCATTTTATTTCATGACATTGACTGCAATCCTCATAATGTAACAGCTCTCATCCCACTTTCTCCCTGTAGTTACCTCTTCCCTGTGTCCTTCTTTCCTATGCATTCCTGCCCCCTTAGGTATCTCCCTGTGCAAATACTGCCCTTCTGTTCTTCCAAGATTGCTTGTTGTAAGGAGTATATCTACCTGATGTAGCTGTTCACCTTATATACCTGTTTTGTTTGGCTAGAAGCCATGGGAGTGAGTTTGGCTGTAATTTTTACAGAAACAGCTCACAAGGACAATCTTCAATGGAGCCATTGGGTAGGTTTGAACTATTAACCTTTGGGTTAGCAGCCATCCACAAACTGCTTGTACTACCTAGTCTCCTTATCATTGAGTAGTACTTCATATTTATATTGATTTGAATTTCTTTCACTATTGTTGAGTTTGAACCCTGGTTGAGTTCTAAACTAAAACCAAACTCACTGCCGTTGAGTTGGATTGTTTTTTAATAAACAGTTATTTCATTTGACCTTTAGATTCTGGCTATTTCAGCTGTTATTAGCCTTTCATGTAATTTTTTATTTTTCTGAGCTTGAGCCTAATTAGATGAGAAATAATCTGTGTATGTGACTTGGTGCATCTTATCTGGGAATGGGAAGTTCTTTACATTGGAGAAGACTTGTTGGATCATCCTCCATGTCTCTTTAATCATCCATTCAGCAGGAATGTACCAAGCCTCTACTATGTGCTCAGTCTGTGCTAGTTCTTGGGAAATCTCAGTGTCTAGACAACCATGCCTCACCCTTTGTGAGCAAACAGCCTTACAGGAGTGACACTGAGCAAGTGAAGTGTCCAGGACATCATCTAAGAATGGAACATTGATATCCTCCCCATCTGTGCTTTGCTGGTTTCAGTTTTGTATTAAGTTTTTTAAAAATGTTTATATAATTACACTTGTCCATCTCTTTGTTGAAATGAAAAGTCAGACTGAGTCACCCTTCTCCCTTAGCAACTTGACCTTTGTGGTGCCATGAAGTTTGGTCATTGGGGATGGACCTGAAGAAGGAATTTCTGGGGACAAATGGGCCCAGATCCTCTTCTCTGGGGAAAGCATGGATTCAGAACATGTAGTTTTCTTTAAAAGGTTCACTTTACCTGACAGATGACTCTTTCCAGGACAAACCTTCCAGTGATTTGGAGATGGCCAGGCCACAGAAGACCATGCCAACCTTTCCTCAGAAGAAAGGTAGGTGTCCCTTACCAGGTAGAGCCCTTCTGATGTTTGAGCCTGGAGAGAATTGAAAAACTATGGTGAGGGAGTCCTATTGCAACCTGCCCATAGCAATCCCAAGTTGCCCCCTCTCCTTGTCCAGTGGGCCAGGATGGTAGCCAGGTGGGTGCTAGATTACTGCATTACTCTGTCCTGTCCACAGGGGTTCAGGCAGCTGTCACTATGCCCATCCTCTTGCCTACTCTGAAGCACAGCTTCTTTGATGATCCCCTGCATCAGGAGCTCCTCCACCCCACGCGACACCTCTGCAGCCCCCCATTGGCCCAGACTCACAACTCACCAAAGAAACCTAAGATGCAAGCATCTGAGGACATATTCCCCACCGACTGGAGCCCACCACCTATAGAATTCTTGAACCCGAGGACACTACAGGCTGGCCAGGCCATCCCAACCCAAGCCCAGGTAGGCGTGACAGGGTCCCAGGGCTCGAGAAGCCTGGCCGACCGGCAACCAGAGGAGTGGAAACAGAAGCCCCTGGATTCAGACCCTGAAGAGACCCTGACCTCACTGAAGGAGTTGTTCTGCAACGTGGCAAGCCCGAGCCAGCAGGCTGCATCCTCAGTAAAGGATGCCCACACCTCAGTAAGCCAGTGCCATACCTTGGCTTCCCTCCCCAGTCACCTCACAGGCCACCCTTCTTGGCCATGCCACAACTTCCTTCTTCGGCCACTTCTTGGTCACTCTTCCCTCAACTTCTCTTAGCCCTCATGCCCTCATGCCTGGGAGCCTGGGCTCTGAAGGCTAGGCTACACCTTTCCCTTTATTTCTGCTCCTAACTCCTGCTAATGGCTGGCTTGGGGATATTGCCAAATTTGATGGCAGTTCTGCAAGGAGCCCTTCAAAACTTCACGGCTAAGATTGGGATGGTGGCCCTGGAGCAACGAGAGACCTTGGTGCTAGGATCTTGCCTTCAGGAAGAGACTCAGGTTGGCTCTGGTCCAGTGCATGGGGTTCCTAAATGCAAACTGCACTGATGAGCTTCAAGTTGGGAATAAACTACTGTTGCTAGGTATGAGGATCTCTGGTAGCGTAGTGGCTAAGCATTTGATTGCTAACCAAAGCATTGGTGGTTCAAACCTGCCAACCACTCCTCAGAAGGAAGATTGGGTAATCTGCTTCTGTAGTTATACTGCCTCAGAAACCCAAGGAGGGGTCACTATGAGTTGGATCTGACTGGATGGCAGTGAATTTGGTTTGTTTGACTAGGTATACTGGTGGGGACATTTAAAGACCCATAGCTCCAGAGAATCTGTTCTCAAAATTGGGTTCTCAAAATAGGGCTTCCGTTGTTTGTAATAGCCCAAGATTGGCAATAACCTAAGAGTCCACCACTAGGGAACTGATATATATATATATATATATATCTCCTAATGATACATTTGGAATACGGTGAAAATGTTTTAAAATGTTTTTTAAAAAATCTCTTTAGAAGACGATATCCTCAAGACATATTGTTAATTGGAAAGAACAAAGTGCAGGTCAGGGTATATGGTATGTTACCATTTGTATTAGAGGAGGGAAAATATCATTTACTCTTGTTTGCTTATCTATGCATAATATAGCTCCTAAAGCATGCTGTGGATGGATACTCTGTTACTGCCTGAGGGAGGGAACTGGGTGATGGAAGTGGATGAGAGACATTTTGCTGTATGCCTTTCCGCTCTTTGATTTTTAAAATCATGTTAGTGTATTGGCTATTCATAAAAATAAAATAAACAGGCTTCATTTAGAATAACTTTAATTCTATTTTCACCCCTTTCTCTTTCTCTTTGCTCCCCATTCCTGTGTCCGATCTCTCCAGTTCATCTCTGGGGGCTCAGAAAGCTACATCAATAGCTTAGATTACCTACTCCAGGAGAAAAAGTGAGTATGGAAAAGAGTCCTTCATGGGGTGGTCATTTCAGTGGAGTTTACAGTAATTTCTGGGGATGTCTTCTAAGATTCATAGCAAATTGCTTCAGATAACGCAGCCTACCTACCCCAGACCCAGTGTGCCTCCTGGGAGTATGCACTGATTAATAACAAGCACATATAACAGTACTCAAGTCAAAGGATGGCGTTTCAAAGACAGAGCCTATAGAGCCATCTCAATAGGACAGATGAGGCCAGAAGATTAGTTGATGCTCTCTGGGGATTGCAGAGTGGTTTGTGGCAGGACAGTCGAAGCTCTGGCACAGTGCTTAAGTGTTAAGCTGCTAACTGAAAGGTCAGTGGTTCGACTCTCCAGCTACTCTGTGGGAGAAAGATATGGCAGTTTGCTTCTGCAAAGATTACATCCTTGGAAACCCTGTGGGGCAGTTTTACTCTGTCCTATAGGCTCACTATGAGTCAGAATCTGTGACAATGGATTTTAGGCTTCTACTGGTGACAGGGGGCAAAGGGTAGGGAGAGTAAATGGATAAGCAAGAGTATAAGGCTGCTTTTGTGGTCAGAGACTCAGGAAATGTGCCAGGGGCTCCGAGGAATAGAGGGCACCAAGGATCTTTCCTGGTCAGTGCAACAAAGGCTAAGAGGAGCAGGCCTTGGTGTGTTAGAAAATGAGAAGATGCCAAAAACAAGGTACAGAAATAAAAGCACATCTGAAAATGTATGATGATGAACATTGTTTTCTTTCAGACCTGTCTGCTCATCTCTACTCATTTGGAGGCAATACAGTATAACCATCCCTCCTCCAAAAATCTCAGCTTGAGAGCTTTTGTGAAGGGAAGCCAGGGCTCTATGGTCCCCATGTTCCTAGACTTTGTCCTGTTCATTGGGGCCCCTGCAGCCTGATGACAGCAGTGGGCAACCAGCAACAGCCCTGACCCCTGGCTTTGGCTCTCATTTGGCCCACAGGGAACAAGCTCTTGAGCAGGAGCAAGAGAAGCTGCTTCTACAGCTTCCTGACCTTGACTCTTTGGATCTTGATGAAGAGGAAGTGGCTCTCACACCAGAGCATAGGTAGGGGGAGCACATACAGAAGTGAAGGGACACTCAGAGGGGAAGTCCCAGCACATGAATCTAAAGGTGAAGGGCTTAAGTGTCTTGGTTTTGGATGGAATGTCAGCTGGTACTTTGTGGGCCATTTCTGAGTTCTAAAGCTGCCTCCTTTTCTTAAACCTACATTCGTTCATTGATTTGATCATCTACTGTGTGTCAGAACCTAGTCCAGGTTTTAAGGACACAAAGATCATAAAGCATGGCCTGCTCTGTCCCAGACAATTGGGTCTAGAAAAAATAACTACACAAAACCACAGTCTAAATGAAAGCTGCCATTAAAGGGGAGAACACAGCCACATGGCATTTCATTTTCCCTGCCTGGTGAAATGAAGGTGGCTTCTATCAGTGCTGTGTGCTGGGCAGGGGCTCTGCTGGGTGTGATTTAATTGGACCACTGGCTGGAGGAAGGGCTAGATTCATCTGTACCAGTATTTCAGAGATGCTGAGAAACTACAAGTAAATTTGTCATCAAGGTGCGCTGTCATCCATCCATCCAGCAAACATTTATTGAGTTCCATCTACATGCCAGGCTTTGTTATAGGCTCTGAGGATATGGCAGGAACAAACCGGACAGAGATCTCTGCCATTATGTTGCTTGCTTTCAGGTCAAGGATACAGACTGTAAACAAAGATATGTGGCAAGTGCTAAAGAGAAAGGATAAATTGGGGCGGGCAAGGAATATTGGGAGGGTTAAGACACTGTGGACAGAGGGTCAGGGAAGGCCTTGGTGAGGAGATGACCTAAGTGGAGACCTGAAGGAGGTGAGCCAGCTCTATGGAGGCTCTGCAGTGGGAGCAGAGGAGTCTGAGGCCAGAGCGGAGTGAGGAGGGGAAAAGTGGGAGGCAAGAAAGCCAGGGAGATTAAGGTGGAGGCTCGATCCTGGAACTTTTGCTCGGAGTGAGAGGGCAGCAATCATCTGTCACCCGCCTGAACAAGCCACTGTGATGAGAATAGATGGGAAGGGTATGGGGAATAAGGGCAAAAGAAGGGAAATGAGGCAAAGGGGGTCATGGCAGTCTCTAGCATTGAGCGTGGGGTGGGGTTGACTGGGCAAATTCTAGATATAGTTTCAGGGTAGACCTGACAGGATTTAGTGGCCAACTGGAGGGGAAGGTATGAGAAAGTGAAGAATGAAAGGTGACTCCAGAGTTTTTGTCCTGAGCAATTGGAATGTTGGAGTTACCTTTAGTTGGGGAAGACTGAGTGGTGCTCAGTGGCAGTGAGTTTGGTTTGGTTTTGAGTGAGTAGGGGAGACTGAGGAGGGGGTGGCCAGAGGCAGGGTTGATTTGGAAAACCCCAGGGGAGATATCAAGTGGATGACTCATCTGGAGTTGCAGTCTTATGAAACACTGCTGAAAGAGATTAAAGAAGACTTAAATGGAAAGATGTTTCAGGTTCATGGGTTGGAAAACTTCAGTGCAGTGAATTGCGTAGTATGGTCCCTCTAGCTATAGCCCTCCATTTAGTAATGTATTATAAATCATAGTGTCTACGCCTCTTTAAAGGCATTCTGGTGGCGCAGTGCCTAAGACATTTGACTGGTAACCAGAAGGCTGGCGGTTCAAACCCACCAGCCACCCTGCGGAAAGAAGACAGGGCAGTTTACTTCTGTAAAGATTTACTGCCTCAGAAACCCAAAGGGGGTCGCTGTGAGTCAGAATCTACACAATGGCAGTGAGTTTGGTTTTATTTTTTTAATGCCTGTTTAGGGTGGGATGTATCTTGAGTCCTGCCTTGCTGGAGCGTGTGACTCTAGTCACTACTCTTAGTTTCCTTGAGGGCATATATGTGAATGTTCTGGGAAAGTTTACTCTCTCTTGCTCTGGATCATGCCTTTGGTTCATCATCATCTTACCCCTGGACTTGAGACAGCAGCCAGTTGTCTGACCTGCCAATTTGGGATCTCCAACCTCCGTGAATGAAGAAAATCTTCCAGACCTGTGCCTGACCCACAGATTTGGAACTCACCAGCCTCCTAGCCTCCACTGTTGCATGAGCCCTTTCCTTGGCAGTTTGTGAGTTCTGTGAGACATTACAGCAAAACATGGAACCCTAAGATGGGAGGGAAATGCTGAGGGGAGGAAGAGGAGTTGATGTTAGAAATGATAGGGTAGAACAGCAGTTTGGAAAAGTTGGATATTTGGGATATCTTTAACCTCTGCCTTGTGCTGATCCTTCTAAAAGAAATTATTCAAACAAAAACTCAGTATTTTTACAATGTCAGTGTTACCCAAAGTGAGTGCTCTATAAACACAATCTCAAGCAAAATTCTAACAGCCTTCCTTACAGAAATGAAAAAAATCAATCCTCAACTTTATGTGGAATGGCAAGAGGCCCCTAAAAGCTAAAACAGTATCGAAAGAGAAAAACAAAGTCAGAGGACTCATACATCCTGATTTTAAAACATACTGTACAGCTACACTTCTGGTAAGATGGAGGAATAGGCAGACAAGCAACACAGACCCTCTTCAACAAAGAAAAGAAAAACCAATTGACAGAGATAAAGAAGATAATCCCAGAGCCTTGAGCTTTGAAAGGAACTACACAGAAGTGGATTAGGCACCAACTAGTGGAAAAACCTGAAC